GGTAAGCCAACAGAGTGTGAAAACTATAGAACAATATCACTGATTTCACATGGAAGCAAGATTCCACTGAAGATTATCCCAAAAACAACTCGAACAGTACATCAGCAGAGAACTGCCAGAAGTCCAGGGGTCATGGTACTAGGGATATTGTAGCTAATGTTAGATGGATCCCAGAGGTATGCGGTTCAAATCCACCAGATGCTCTGCTGGAGAAGGAGGGAAATCTCCTCCTGTACCAGTCAAATCCAATTTGACAGTACATACACACACACACAAAAATAATAAAAAATTAATTTAAAAAAAAATAAGAAGAAAGAGGAAGGTCCTTTACTGAGTGAAGTGCTGTTGGCCTAGTGTTAAGAACTACACTGCAATCCTGAAGGCACGTGGTTCTAATCCACCAGCTGCTCCCCGGGATGAAAAATCAAGTACTGGCTCTGAAAACCCACTGGAGGATCAACTCTGGTCAATTCCAATCCCTTGGCAGGCACCACCACCACCACCACTGACTGAAAGCTGTATCCATCTATGTCATAAAAGTAGATTACCTTGAGGAGACAGCTCCTGCCTAATTTGAGTGTCTTCCAACCTGATGGTCTCCTATTCCAGCTCTACATCAGACAACAGTTCATCACTATTCATAGCACTTCAAAGGCTAATTATGTCAGAAAAGTATGACCAGGCCCGCTTCCATGTCTGTCTTAATCTGGAAGCTTCACTGAAACCTGGCCACCGTGGAAGACCCTGCTGTTATTTCAGATACGAGTGGCATGGCTTTCGCATCATATTAACACAGAAGCCACCACAGTGTGACAAACTGACAGGTTTAAAGTCAGGAGAGGTGTGTTGTCAGGGTTGTATGCAAACAATCTGAGAAACTGTATAAAATGTGGCTTCAACAGAAGGCTCAGCAACAACCTTAGATATTCAGATGACACAGCCTAGCTTGCTAAAGTTGAAAAAGGCTTGAAGTAGTAAGTGAAACAACTCAGAGACTACACAGTATTCAGCATGTACCACAACTCAACATCAAGAAAATCTCCACAAATGGAATCATAAACCACATCATGAAAAATGGGCCGAAGAGATCCTCAATCAACAGCCATGGAAGCAGCAATCAATAAATCAAATGCTTACTTACTGCACTGGCCAGAGACCTCTATGAAGTGCTAAAGGAGGAAACCATTTTAAAGATGAAAGTGTGCCTGATCCAAACCATGGTATTTTTAACTGCTTCATATACATGTGAAAGCTGGACAATGAATAGTAAAGCTGGACGAGCCAATGCCTTTAAAGTGTGGTGTTGGCAAACTGTTTTGAATACACCATGAACATGTCTTGGAAAAAATGCAGCCAGAGTGCTGCTAAGTAGCGTTTGTCTCACATACTTGGGCATGTTGTCAGGAAGCACCAAGCCCTGGAGAAACGCATCACGCTTGATAAAGACTACGGTACGGAAAAGGGGGAACCTCTCAACCAAATGGACGGGCAGTGACTGAAACAGGCTTAATTAAGCACAGCAGAGACTGTGTGGATGGTGCTGAATCAGGCCGGGTTTCCGTCTGCTATACACGGAGTCGCTAATACGGAGTTAAATGGACAGCTTCTAACAACGGCAATCATAAAAATAACACCTTTTTTCAAATCTACCAGACGCTCTGCTGGAGAAGGAGGGGCAATCTCCTCCTGTACCTGTCAGATCCGATTTGACGGTACACACACACACAAAAGAGTAAAGTGAAATTAAAAAAAAAATATATATATATATTTAACATAAGTCTAAAAGAAGCCCTTTGCGTAGTTTGCCATGTGCCATTAAAGGTACTGACTTCTAGGCTACTCCTCCGTCCCCATCTCTGGGTTCGAATGCTACTATCAGTTGACGCGCAGCCGGACGTGTCACACAATTCCGCGCCCGCGCCTTGCAGTGAGGCCTGACATATAAACCCCAGAAGGCCCTGCGCCCAGTGGCAACCCACCTGACCCAGCGGCACTGTGCACGGAACAGTTCGCTCCATAACGAGGACTACAATTCCCAGAGTGCTTAGCGCGACGCGGGCTCACGAGTCCGGATGTGCCCGCCAGCAACTCCTCTGAGGCAGCTCACGACTCAGCACCGTCGCTGGTCCTGCGCAAAGGTGGTCCCACTCACCGTCCCGAGCCCTGCGAACTGAGCGGAGCGCCTCGAAGATCCCGACGCTGCGTGGTGCCCGCTGCAGCCCTGCCACACTGGACTCCCTCCCCCACTATTCTGGACAAACCCGCCTTTCACCCCGTACGTCGCCCGATTTCCGCAGCTGCGCGGAACCCCGCCGCTGCATGCTTCAAAGGCCACGCCTCCTGCTTTGGGTCACGCCCCCGAAGGCCCCGCCCCTAATCGCTCTACTCCCACTCCTCTGCTTGGGTGACCCCCCCTATCCCCAATGATTTTGCAGCCACCCCTGGAACGAGAGCCCCCCGGTCGAACTCAGCGTGACCCCCAGGCTACCTTGGGGGCGACCCAGAGCCTGGACGCGAGGTGCGTGTGGTTTCCCAAGGTGGGGGGCCTGGTCTCAAGGATTTAGGACTGGTCCTCTTAATGAGATGCAGTTGGGTGAGCTGAGAATGGGATAGGCCTGAAGGCTCCGAGACGTGACAACCGAAGTAGGCTGTTGATTGGCCCAAGAAACGGGAGCTGACTTGGGATGTCAGGAAAGGCAGGGATGGGGGCTGATGGCTGAGGCTGTAGGCTCAGGCGGGTAGATCCCTGGCGTAGGGCCAGTAGGGTGGGTGGGGTGCACCTGGCTCTTGTCTCTTCTTAGCTCCCCTCTCCGAGCTGTGCCCATGAGCACCAAGCGGCGCCTGGAGGAGGAGCAGTGAGTTTGGGGGCAGGGAGGGACTGCCTAGAGACCTCACAGCCACCTCTGACCTCTATCCTGCCCTCTCCTGATCCCAGCTAGCTCGTTTCTCCCTAGGGAACCCCTTCGCAAGCAGTTTCTGTCCGAGGAGAATATGGCCACCTACTTCTCTCGACTCAGCCTGCATAATGACCACTCATATTGCAGTCCCCCAGGGGCTATACCCCCAGCCCTGCCCCCTCTCAGGTAGGCAGGCACCTTCCCTGGGCCAGTTCACGTTGGTCCTAAACCCAGCCTCCAGGCTATGCCTCATCCTGCTATTTTTGGCTTCCAGAGACCTCTGGGTTCTTTGCCATCTTGGCTCCTTAGAGGGTGACTGAGCCTGCCATGGGGGGCGGGGGCTAGGTGGGAGGGGTTTATCTGCCAGCTCCGCCCTCTTCCTTAACTGTTTCCCGGACCCTGCTTCTTCTAGGAGACCTTGCTCAGAGCTGCTGCTGTGGCGCTACCCTGGGAATCTGATCCCAGAGGCCCTCCGATTGCTGAGGCTGGGAGTCGCCCCTACCGCCTATTATCCTGTTGCCCCAGCTGCGGACCTTATAGAGCTCTGATTGTTAGTGGACAGTGCCCTACCCACTAGACACTGGGAAGACCAATACCCCAAAGGGACCTGCCACCCTGCTACTCCAGACTTTGGCCACCAGGATCTTCCTTGCAAAAGCTGCTGAGGACAGACACTGGGGGGTCTGGCCAGAGGGAGAGGCCTTGGGGAGGGAGGTAAACCAGCTTGCATAATAAAGACTGCGGACCAAGTGAAAGTTTTATTGGAATGAGGGAATTCTGGGCCTGTGGAGAGAGCTGGAGCACCGGATGTGGGACTTCTCTCCCGATCATCCCTGGAAAACAGTCAGGTCCCAGCCAGGTCCTGGCAGGCTGGGCTCAGGCATTGAGAATGTGTGAGTCAGGGCCTCGCCCCCGCCCCCGCGACGGGCTGACTCACGCCTGCCCCCCCCCCCCCCCCAGCTCAGACACTCTCCAAACCATGTAAAGTTAAAAGACTCTTTTTTTAAATAAATTCTCCTTCCCTCGCAAACTTTTTCCCCCAAAATAAATATCTCCCTCACTTTGGGGAATGGAGGCAGTGTCTTAGAGCTAGCCCCCGCCCTCCCGCTAGAGGGCCAGCCCCTAGTGTTCAGAGCAGGGCCTAACCCCTTAAACTGAGACTCCCCCTCAGGCAGAGTTTCAGTGATCAAAGTGGGCTAAGCCTAGTGTTGGGTTTGCCCCTCAAGTCGGCCTGGCCCCCAGGGCATAGGAGACCCCTACTTGTGCAAATACTGCAGTCCTTAGTGTTGCGTTTGTCAGATACATCCTGGAGACTGGGATCGGGCAATCAGACACCTTGGATGGCGCCCCAAAACCTCAGAAGTGATTCACTGCCGCCACCCCCCTTCCCCGTGGTTGGTTGGCTGGGCCTGGCACGGGCTTTGTCTGGAAGGCAGCTGGCTCCATCCAGAATGAATGAATGAATGAATGATGAGCGCAGGCTGGCAAGGGGTGCTCGATGTCACTGGATCAAAGCCACGCCGGGACAACCCTCCCCGCCTGTCTCCTCGATGGGGGCTGCAAGACAAGAGGGGTGGTCGTGAGAAGGAGAAACTGGAGAGTAAGCGGGGAAGACTGAGAGACACACTTACTGGTAAATTTTTCTCTCCTGCGGCATCGTCGCCAGACCAGGAAGCCGGAGAGCAGCCCCAACACCAGCACCAGACTCAGGGCGCCCCCCAGGATGGGCCAAAGCAGCCGGAAAGGGGCTGGAGGGGCCGTAGCGCCTAGGGGTGGGGCAAAGCGTGAAGTCAGACTTCGTTCCCCAGATCTGAGATTCACACTCCCCCCTCCTCCGTTACCCCCTCTGATCACAGCTCCATGCCTACTCGTGCCCAAAACCGAAACCCACTGCTCCCCCCACTCCCGGGTTGCGAGTCCACCCGGCCAGACTTACAGCCCAGGCAGAAGTCGCTGCGAGGCCGCGCGGAGCACGACGCACAGTCCATGCACTTGTCCAGGTCCACGCTCCAGGAGGTGCCGCGAGAGCAAGGGGAGGCGCCTGGGGAGGGGTCCGCGGGTCAGGCTGGGGCGGGGCGCGGCTATTCTGGGGGCTGAGGTCAGGGTCGGCCGGCTCGAATGACGTGACTCACCAGCGCCCACCCCCGCGTTCCTCACAGGTGACTGCAGCGCCCGACCGGGACACGGCCGGGGGTGGGGTGGGGGGGGGCAACGCGGGCCACCCCGCGGGGGTCATGTCTCTCGCCATCTGCCTTCCCCGCCGCTGGTGGGTGACTCACTCCCGGGCACCGGGCCCGACCCCAGCCCCTCCCCCCGCATAGCTGGGCACTGAAGTCACCGGACGGAAGGGGGCACTCCACATGGCTTTGGGGGCAAAGACCCCTGTGCCCCTCGATAGTCCCAATCTTCGATCACTGAAGCTGGGCAGAACCCATATTGACCAGACTGGGGGCGTGACCCCTTAACTGATGACACGTACTGCCCACAAACTTTTCCCATCTCCTCTAAGCTAAGACTTTCAGGAAGAAATTCCCTTCCCAAGGGGGCAGAAGAAACAGGCCGGGACAGTGGCTAAAGCGCAGAGTTGGATAGACACCCATCAGCTGAGGAACACGGCACCGGGGGTCCAGCTGGCCCTGGCACCCCATCACGTCTGCCAGGTGTCCTCGATTCTGTCAGGTTTCCCCAAGCCCCCAGGCTCGGCACCCCTCTCCCCAGGCCTGGATCCCCCCGCCGCCCAACCCTTACATCTCCCCACGTACCTGGCGCCTGCTCCCCCGCAGCCGAGCGCAGCAGCCGGAGCCCCAACCCCACCACGAGGAGCCGCAGCAGAGGGCACAGCGGGCCCCGAGCCATGGCGCGCGCGTCAAGCGGCTGCCGCTGTCTGCTCC